GCTAACAATTATATAACTGTAACTTGGTGTTTGCTGGGTAGCTATTATGTTTAAAAGTTTTAGCTATCAAGCATGAAAAAACTGGTTTTCATATATTATATTATAAATGGATTACTTTAATGATAAAAATAGTTGGTATAACCAATTTTCAGAGATGTACAAAGAAAAAAAAATAAGTTCGCGGACTTTATTATTAGATTTCATAAATAAATCTATTTTCGAAAAATTTAGTCAAAAAATAATTAGTTGAGAAATTATTGGAGTTACACACACAAATAACAGCAAATATTTTATCTATTAAATCTTTATTAAAGGTAGTAAAATTATTTGTATTTATATCTCATATTTTTTAAATGATGAGTATTGATTGTTTATCAGTAATAAGTTGATACAACATACTTTTGTAATTAGCTAATTAAAGAAAGAAAGTGAAATTTGATACTTAAACATGCAGTTATACTAATTGTGAATATGAATAAAATAAAATACTATTTTATAAATATTAAATCATAGGATGCAAAAATAAAAGTTTTGTCATTTTTCTATACATTATATTCTTTTTTAAATATAATCTTTAATTTGAGTTTTTTAAAAATAAATTTCTAAAATTTCTTTCTGAATGAAAGTTTGTTAAAACCAATAAAGAACTTGATAAAAATCTTTTGTAAAAACTGTATAATTTTATTTTTTACTTTATTTGATAAATATGACAAATCTCTTTTGCACCGATCTATTATGTAAATATTTTTTCATATTACTTACGTTTTATTTTTGACAATTTGTGAAATTCTTTTTACTTTAGCAACTGTGCAGCCGGAAGTTGAGGTTTCACTGTTTGTATCTATCAACTCCCTGTAATCATTATCTTCCATACTTGTCATTGCATTTTGCCTTATTATGACCACGTCTGATGGTAATTGTTGCAAGATTTCCATATTCTTTTCTGTACTATTGCTTTGTAAATTGGAATTCTGATGTTCTATTATTTTTTCAAATCGATATTGCAAAGTCATTTTGGAATCATTATCACTGAACTCTATCATTCGATGATTTTTTATGACAGTCCTTTACTTTTTTCTTCAATAAAATCACCTCCGCTCCTTTGTCAAATATTTTCTTTTGCATATAGTCACTCAACATTGAATTTTAAATAAAATTGCAATGAGAAACATATCTCACATTTTTATTGCAATCTTCATTGATTGATAAATCAGCTTTCTCATGGATTTCTCTAATTTCTTGAATTTTGAAGAAATATCTCTGACCAATTCTTCGATATTATTTCCATTAATCTAAATGGCTATAAAGCTGTTTTTTGTGATACTATGATAAAGATATTAACGACAAAAAAGTTTACTTTACTAATACCTAATTTTATCAATTTCATTTATAACTCATTTTAATTACATAAATATCTTCGTCCTCTGTGTATGTTATAAATAATCTGAAACGTAAATCAGCAAGTTTCCACAAGACAAAAGCTTACTCAGACTATTAACAACATTTTATATTTTACACCTAAAGAGATAATTGATATATGTTTGAGATATGTTTGTAAACAATAAGGAAAGAGCTGGAAATGTAAGATAATGTAGTACTATTAAAATAAAAGCGTAGCTGAGATAAAACATACCTTATGACTTTATTTCCTCTTCGTAATTTTAATAACTTCTTATTGATAATTTATTAAATTTGTCGGCATTTACTAAAGGCAACTTTCATTCTAAAAAGATGTGAAATTCGTAATATTAAGTAGTTGATAAATTCCTGTAGAATTCCGGAATCTTCTCTCGTGTTCAATAAATGTATACAACTACATTCAGCTCTTGATCAATCTAGAATAAAATAATACTTTCGAAAAAATGTGGGTAACATAAAATATGTTTCACCAAAAACAGAGCACTGGATCGACTTGATCGGCTGTCACGGTAGCATCGTCTTTCAAGTGTTTTAAGCCAACGGCATATGGTACGCTTTTGCTTACTGGATTGATTGCGAGCTAGTAAAATACTAGAAATGCACCATACAGCATACAGTATTTTTAGTAATTTACTAGCTCGTAATCAATCCAGTAAGCAAAAACGTACCGTGTGCCGCTGGCTTTACTTTTACTGCGTCGGGTCATCGAACAACAATAGTAATGCCAGAAATGCGAACCACATGTAATTATAATGGAGAGAATGACGCACACCCCAGAACCTCGTACATACATGCTTCGCGAAGCGCTTGACGAGCAGTTGTACATACATAACACGCACAACCGAGAATCCACGACATGTGCACTCCACGAAATATGTGTCATTTTCTTAACGGATTGCATGTTGCTTGCATCTTGCATCTCAATGCGAACAAACCTTAGACGCATCGCATGCTCCAATATGCTCCTATTCGTTCCAATACACTCCAACCTATAGTGTGTAGCAAAAGTATCGAAACGGCCAATTATCTTAGAAACTATTGGTTTATTGGAAAAATGTTTCAAACAAAAATAGTGGGGCTTAAAAAAAATCTATTGATGATGTTTATTTTAGCTTTGGATGACCTTGAAAAGCCCGATCAAGGTAAACATAAAAATCTTAAATAGAAACTTTTATTTTTTATTGCACATTCTTGTAGCTGACGTTGAGACGTTTTTAAAATACTATAATAAAGTATTTTTTTATTAAGTACTTTTCGAGTTATAAGACTTGAAAATAACAGTATCGCCGGCATTAGCATTATCCAAGATGTACGTGCGCGCGCGCGTACGTGTAATAAGCATTCATAATCATTTAACCCTTTTTCCGTGTATCCTAAAATATTATTAAATTATATTTGATAGATTAGATTTGTTAAATGTCCCAGACATAACATCCCTTACATAACGTAAATAAATAATATCCATGAGTATTTCATGCTTTTAATAAAAATTTCTTTTATTAAACTTTAAATTTACAATTATTTATTAATTTATAAATCGGAAAGAGAGAGTTTCTAGGAGATTTAACAAATCTAATTTATCCAATATAATTTAATAATATTTTAGGATTATTATATCGTAAATGTAATAATCGAGAATTGAAACTTTGTTCTCAAACTAATTATTTTTAAAAAGTATATTTTAAAGATTGCGTTTAAAGTATTGATATTTGGCAGTCAGAGGGTACGGAACTTCATCGCGTTACAGATGCGTTGTACACCTGGTCACACTAATGCCTTAACACATGAACTTGCGGGTGTCAAGGCATATTGAGTCGGCGTGTTTCGACTCTACATATTTTTATATCATGACTGGTTATGAACGTAGCGGCAATGCTGTTTTGGATGTTTCGAAGCAACTGGAGCAACTGACAAGTAAAGGTTAATCACAACTAAAACAAAACCGTATTGTTTTATCTTTCAAAAAAATTGTCGTATACATATATTAAACCTTTCAAAAAAACCTGTCACATATATTAAATCCTTTCAAAAAAAACTTTTATATATTAAAATTTCAAAATTTCAAAAAAGCTATTATATATACTTTTTAGAAAAAAATATGATATCAGGAAATGGCACCAAGTGGGACTAAAAAACTATAAAAAAAGTTGTACACTATTTCTATAAAACTCTTCTATAAAATTCTATAACAGCGCTCGGAATTAGTTGCACATTTTGGGCCGATTCCCGAGACGACGCCTTCTGTTTCCCCACTACCGCCCGGCCGCTGGCGGCCGAGCCGCCGATAACTCTGTCTCAGGAGCGTTTTATATTAGAAATAGGCTGGATTGTTTAGGCATTTCTCAGGAAATCAGTAACATTTTCTTCGTTACATAAATAATGTTTATTTTCATTAATAATTGAATATATATATATATATAATGTATTAATGAAAATAAACATTATTTATGTAGC